TGTCAGCGCCAGGCTATAAACCCAAGGAGCCCGGCTCCAGCGTGTCCTCATCTACGAAATGGGAACGCTAGAGCTCCAGCAGCCAGTGACGGTCAGGGATACACAAAGCCTGCAAAAGGAATTATTTTTCTTGGTTCTAGTTTGGTGCTAATAGATGGTTCATTAAATTACTATTTTTTTAGAGACACACAGCCATGTACCTCTCCCAATCCAATAGTAGTTACTATTTCAGTCAACCCCAGAAGCCCATGATTTAGGGTTAGGGTGGGGCCCTAAATCAATGGTGTTTGGAGCGCCCTAAGGCTCCTCCGAGGGACACACACCCCCACTAGCCACAGTCATGAGGCATCTGTGGCCCATGGAGGGATGTAGGGTGTGTGTGACGAAGTTCAGGGCGGGTGGGGAGGTAAGACAAAGGGTGGAAAGATTCGAGGAAGCCATGGTCCCCAAAGTGATCATGGGAAAGTAGTGGGATACTTTGTGTTATGGACTGAACGTTTGTGTTCCCCTAAAATTCATGTGTTGAAGCCCAAGGCTCTAGTGTGGCTGTATTTGGAGATGGGATTTCTGAGGAGGTAACTAAGGTTAAATGAGGTCATAAAGGTCAGGCCCTGACCTAATAGGATTTGTGTCCTTATAAGAAGAGGCACAAGAGATCCTTCCTTCTTCTCTGCCCCCCGCCCTCCCCAAACCACACATGCAGGAAAGGCCATGTGAGGGTACAGCGAGAAGGCAGCGTCTAGAAGTGAGGAAACAAGCCCTCACCAGGCACCACATCTTCCAGAACTGTGAGAAATAAACGTCGGTCGTTTAAGCCCTGTAGTCTGTGGTATTTTGTTACAGCAGCCCAAGTGGACTAAGACGTCCTGTGTTTCCTGGAGGTTTCCCGGCCACCCTTCATTCCTGCAGTCCCCACACACACACACACGTACCCTACCCCCGGACCCCCAAGTCAGCATCCTGCTGCAGAATCTTCTCAAACCCCAACGCCCAGTGTGAGTGGCTGCAGCATTCTCAGGACACCTCATGGTGGTGGCAGCCTCAGCAGGCCCCGGGGAACATTGCTCCAACCATGAGACTCGCCATGTGTTTCTGGGGCTTAAAATAAATCAGGAGTAGCTTCCCACATAGTGAAGCAACTTTTTACAACCCAGAGGCAACTGGAGACGCTTGAGGCTGGTTAGTCTGTTTAGAAGGCTGCTCTTTAGTGACTAAACTAGCTTAGGACCTCTTCAGAGTGGGTAAGGGGCATCATATGAGTCAGTGAGGCCAGCTGTGTGACTATGTGGTATTCGCAAACTGTAGAGACTCAAGGTAATAGTAGTCATGAAGATGTTGTCCCTTACCTGCCACTTCAAGGTTGACCCCTCATTTTAATGATATAGTCTTTCCTTATTTCTGCAAATTTGCCTTTGCTGGGCAGAAAGTCTTGAGTTCCTTCCTAGGTACCATTCAAACAATAAAGTGCTCACACCCACTAGTTGATCTTTTGCTTAAACTCATCCTAGAAGAACAGAAAGTCCTCAGAAAACGTGGATATGCGCAGTGTGTGGTGCGTGAATTAGGAGCAGAAAAGGCTTTCTGTGTGATGTATTTTTTAATGAGAACACATTGTTATACTGTGAGCATATGGCATTCTTGCTTATAGAAACATTTACAAGAACACATACACATTTATATCCAAACACCAAATGAAGTAGATACTTTAAATGATCAGTTTGCACCAGAAATAAAATATATTATACAAAACAGGGGTTATATCCACAGTCATTAATTCTCATTTTCTACACAACACAACAATAAATTAAATCACATTATATGCAGATAGTTCTACTTACATTAGAATAATAAACTGTATGTCGCTTGTGCAGCTTTTACTTTTCTACCAGACTCATGGTAGGTTTGTACTGTTTGGCAGTCTTATATTTAAATTAACAATGAACACTAGGGCCCAGAAGACAGAGGCTGCAGAAGTGACCCTCCACAGTGTGTATACCATGCACCATGCACAGGGAACAAAGCTCAGATTCCCAGGGCCCTGCAAAAAGGTCTGCAAACTCAGCAACTCCGGACAACACCTCATTGCTGTCTTGTAAGTAAGACACACTACATGGACCATTTTCAGATCTTGGCACCGAGTCATAAATAGGACAGCCTGTTTCAAAAATCCCCATTTGCCTGTTTCTCAGTCTTCTCTGCCCAATTATTATGTGTTATGACAGCTTTGTTCTCCTCGCAAATACAAAACAATTTGGTAGGCTATGTTGTGACTTAGACTTGGTGAATGGGCCCTTTATTCCTCATGGCATAGAAATTCCGGTCTCTAAACACGTGAATCAAAGCAATGTAGCTTTTTTTGCTAACTCTTAATTCTGCATGTTCAAATCTCTCCCCTGGGAATCGTCCCACACCTGATACATCAAAGAGCTAGTATAACATATGGATGTTTACTTCTGAGACGCGGCTCCCACTGAAACCCTCTCCCTGTGTTTGAAGTCGCTTAAAGCATGAACATTAAGAGCATCAGCTGGTTTTGAATTGCTTCGCCTTTGGTATGAATTAACATTAGTGGTTAATGAGAAATTTGAACAAACTCCAATCCAGCACCTTTTGAAAGTCATTTTAATCCTAGAGTCTGGCTGTGGGGTATGCCTGCAAGAGATATTTGTGAGATCGACATGCTGCAAACCAAAGCCAGGCTTGTTGGAGTCTATGCACATCACAGGCTTGAACAACCCCAAGAGCGTGTGTGGTCAAGTTAACTAAGGGTTCTGATCAAAAGCCAGCTACATTCTCACAGCCGGCACCGTTTTGTCTTCTTTCCCTCTGAGGCAGTATGGAGGTCCGACTAAGACTTTCTGCCTGCCTGGGCAAGATGCTAACGCATCTCTGGAGCCATGATGGATGGTGAATGGGGATGGTGAATGGATGGTGAAAGGGATGGTAAAGCTTGCACGTGTACCCTCTTCAGTTTCTTTTGGAGAACCAATCTCCTGATTCCCCTTTTTTGTGTGTGGCCCAAGCCTCTTGCCGAGTCTGGCTGTTGAAGAGGGACTAAATTAATGGTTATTTTGTAGTTCTAAAGATCAGCTAAAAAAGAAACAGGCCCCCCTGAACAGCACCATCTCAAATTCTCTCTGCTGCCACACTGCCCCTAAAACATATCCCATGCTTTTAGACAATTTCAGCTTTTTTCACTGAAGAAGTTCAGTTCATTACCAGCTTCCTCACGAAGCACTGAGCCACAGGGCAGCACTAAACGAAACTCATGAAGCATAGATCAAGGGGCCTAAGTTTGGTTGGCATTTGGCTTTATAACTGCATCCACTCAGCATCTAAGTTCTTTGTGTCCCAAGAAACATGGGTGTGTGTTCCTTTCAGTTTATAAATACTTCCTTAATATGTACCAGTAGCATAATATTGCATTTGGTCTCCTAAACAGACTTCCACAAATAGCCACTGTAGACTCACTCAGAAGGTGATGCCACGGGAACCTACTTTCTGTCACTGCCTGTATGAGATCTATCCAACGGCCTTCATTTCACTGCCAGTGGCATCTCTTACAGTCTCCAAATGAGCGGCAACCAGAAGGAAAGTGGTAAGCTAGACGCAAAGCGGGCTCAGGTGCCTTGAAGAAGTTTATGGCCCTAGAAGCTTGTGAATAGGGAGAAGTGTCTGGACATAAAGTCTTTGAATTTTAAGGAAGAGGAGAAAAGGAGGCACTCTCTTTCCATACATTCCTCCCCTCTCTCCATTAAATATTGCTTCTGAAATGTAAAGAACTATTTTAAAGCCTGTGGAACTATGTCTGTGGTTCAGGAAAGGGCAAGCTCATGGCTCTTCTGAGAAATATCATGTTTACCAGGGGTTTCCTTGCAGGGCCTGTGGTCAGCCTGGGGGAAACTACTCACTCTATATAGAAAGTGCTTTCTGGATAGAAGTGATCATCTGGAGAGAGCTTTTGTTTCTGAGTCCGGGGCGGTGGGGAGAATCTAAGAAGATGACAATGATGACCATAAACCCTACAATTATTTCTAACACCATGAGTATATACAAAAAGTATATACTCATTTTGACCTGTATCAATGTCAGCTGATGCTTGGCCAGTTAAGAAAATACTGATAAAGTATCCCTTTTTAAATCTGAACACCCTAAAAATGTATAAAATGATTTAAGAACTAAAGCCCTATTTATTTGACTGTATGATATGTGGCTACTGGCGGAGTAGGAATGACTAGTCATCAAAGATGTTGCTTAGCAGTTAGGAATTTAAATCCCAAATTATAATCTCCACAGGTCTTAACCCAGGGTAACCTTGGGCCAAACACCTACGCTTTTAGCAAAGATTTCCAACTTTCTAGAGTTTTCAAAACTTAACAGAGCTTTGGTAACTCATACAATGCTTTCAAGGAAGAAAGAATAGACAACTGACATGTAAATAAGCAATCGATCTTAAGAACATTAGAATTGCTTTAAGATTGGAAGAGAATCACATCCACATATGAGAAACCTCATGATTTGTGCTACCATTTTTAAAAGACTAAATTCTTGCTTGTTTTTACGATTTTATCTGGGGATATAATATCTAGTTTAGAACTATTCCTCTAACCAAAGTAGAAATAAAAGATATTTATTTTTAAAATGTTAGACTTAACATTGGGCCCCTATATAGATTCTAGAAAGGTTAGAAATGTTTATACCCAAAGACCTCAACCAGGTGAAGTGTTTTCCCCTGCAATAAGCACATAGGCTCGAAATTTAAATGTTTTTTTATAAACACAAGATAAAATAAAATGAGTATCTCTAAAATATATGGAAAACATTGCTGAAAAATAAAAATCAGAGAGAAATAAGCTCTCAATTGACGAAGATAAAATGGATGCAAACCTATTCTGTTTTCACTTTGAGGAGTCCTGAGCTGTTAAATGCTTTGCTTCCCTGGGTTTTACTTCCCAAACTCTCTTCCTACATTAGAATTTCTGGAGCTTGCCTTTCTGGCCTTTTTCATCCATCCTTTTTGAATTCAGCACTTTTTCCTTTCCATCCAACATGGAGAACTACAGTATAGTTGTTTCATTGTTCATTGTTAATTCTTTTATCATGTTCTCCAGCTGCCTGCATTCCTTTTTAAACAATAAAGGGTAAATGTGCCCCACAGAAATAATCCATTCACTTTGACTGGCTGAAGTAGGACTGACAGAGGCCGACTTCTCCAGGGAAGAGGGCTCTGGGGCCAACTTCCAAGACACTCAGCTTCCATTCACTCTGCCTCCAGCATTACCTGTGTGAATTATGACCTTTTTTACTACCAAAGAATTGCTCCAACACCTTTATTATCCTCCCTACACATGGTCTTTTATAGGCATCAAAGTAATTTTTAAAACTATTTTTTTTATTTTCCAGATGCTCAAAATGTTATCAAGGACTAGTGACATAATTACAAAGTGCTGTGCTAATCCGGCAACTTCGCATTCTTCCCTCACTATTTTCTCCACAAATTAAAAACGAAAGTGGCAACTTGGATTTAAACCGATGTGCAGAGTACGGGGTGCAAAGTAGGTATTCAGTAAATACTTATTCACGTTGGTCCAAATTCCTTATATCCACACCCAGCCCACTGTTACATGGGTGATTAGTGGATGGCAAGAAAACTCTATGGAGTTAACTGAAAGGGTTTATAGTAGCTAGAGTCCCTCTTTTATCCAAAATCTTTACTGTAAATTTCAGTAAAGTGTCATGTATGAATTTTTTTAATTTATCATTTCTGTGCTCACTGTCAAGTTCCAACTCTATAAAGTTTTTCCGGAAGAAAAAGGGTTGCCTCCCTTTGTAAAATCCTACTTAATTCTAGTAAATTTCACCCTTGATCCTGAAAGTCATCATTTGGTCAGAATTGGAAGGGTAGTCTCTCTAAAATAATTTACATTTAATGCAGGTAAATTGGTGTACTCCTGTAGAGTCTGTCATCTCAATACATTTCTAGATCTCTGTAATTAAGGCAGCAATTTGCATTTGGCTATGGCCAAGGGAAGAGGGAAACAGAAAAAGAGAAGCATCTTTCATCATTGTTGGTTTGTTGTACACTTTACCCATGCCTTTAAAATATAAGTGAAATTTAATTTTCAAAATGAAAAAATAGACACATTTTCTAATAGCAAAATATAAGATTAAAATACTTAAAAATAAAATGTTAGTGTGAAACAGGGCTTCTTTACATTAAAAAATGAAACATTTTAGATTTGTTTTTCTTGTATAAGTCCTCTTATCTCATTAATAGTTACAACTGTCCAGAGCAGCTTTTATGAGACACTGAAGGAGACAGGGAGAAAATCCTTTTTCAAGATACGAAGTCAGGACCTGAATGTATACATTGGACAGAGCCGTCCTCAACCTCAAATCCGCCCACCAGTGCTAGAGAAAGGAACGCTGTATTTCCAACCTTGAGATTTTTTCATTATATTTTCCTCTTCTTGGGTGTTAAATTCTTTCCAAGAATATTCTACTTGTAAAAATGATTTTATTCTAGCTATAAAACATTTCACTTAAGAAAACCACATTTTATAGCTTTGTGTGACATGCCCCCCAAAACCATCAAGATATGGAGACATCAGATTTTCAAACCATAAATCTAATCATATGCCCTTGAAACAGTATGAATGTTTAACAGAGTGACGTTATATTCTTGTATTTGTTTGTCATGAGATGAAAGGCTGGGGGGCATATGGTGATTAATCACAGTTCCTGAGCTTCTAAAGGAATTTTACAACAAAATGACTAACTGCTTAAAAGAATGAATTCTTCAAGAGCACCCCTTCTGTTCCATTGATGTCTTTCATCCCATCAATCTCCTTAGAGAATCTCAGGCCAAAAGAAAAGGCTCCCTTTTAAGCCACCGAAAAATGGGATCTGATGGAATCTTCCCGTAACTCCCGATGTTTTCCAACGTTACGTTCTTCTTGCTGGTTTCGCCTCTCAATGGTTATTCTGTATTTCTTCCTGGGGAAAGGGAAAGTGAATGTAGTAATAAAACCTCACTTGGCTACAAAATACTATGGTTTCTCTTACAAAGAATGCCCTCGAGGGACATCTGGGTTTGAGTTGATAAATGAGAAGTGACAGAATATGAAACCCTGGTCAGAGATTAAAGTAGTGTGCCCCAAGGCGTTATGCCCTTATTCAAGGAGGAAAATTTGCCTGCTTTCCGAAATGCCATAGAACAAGCCTTCCCCTTCTTCCCTGGGCGCCTGGTGGGTTAAGTCTTGTCTATTCTGCCACAGAAGCTCTTCCCAACTCCCAGGATATGCCCTAGATAAAGATCAGGTTAAGTGTACTGTGACCAGAGAAACAGTAATACAATTGTTCCCACAAAGAGTCACATACACCCAGAATTACATGTCCATGCAGAAATGAAGAAATCATGGTCTAAGGGCTTAAGAATAAGCCACAATAACCAGCCACTGAAAGTTACAAAGGAATGGACCGTCATCATGGCGTGAAACTATCAGTATTGTGGACACACAGAAATATTACAATTGTACAAGCCTTAGGGCTTAACCACAGAGGTAACTATGTGTGTAGGTTCTCCAGATACTGAGCACAGAGCAGCCTGGGAGCATGGACTGCTCAGAGCTACTACCTCCTCTCCAGGAGAACCCAGGCACCTATCTGAACAGGAGGAAGCCTAAGAATGGGGTCACTGATTTCCCCTTTGTCCAGATTCCCTCTCCACTTACACATTGGGTGGGGGGGAGAGTTCGGGTGAGAATATTTGTGATGAAAGGATGGCAGTTACTCTGTGGCCTACAGTGCATGGGGTGGGGGGGGGGACTGCAATATAAACTCCTGCCCCACTCCCTCGTAATGCTAGCCCACTGACCACCAAACCAGGGATCACACCAAAAGATGGCTTTGTTCTAACCACCATGCTGTTGGGATAAGAGCAAGATGTGCACATGTCACAGGAAGGATCATGCAAAGACAAGTGACAAAGACAAGAAAGTAGAATGAATCTTTAACTCCCATAAAAAGGTCCTAACCTGAAAAAGTAGAAAGCCATTAGCAAACCAGCTCCTAGTAAGGCTCCCACAACAATTCCTGTCACCGCTGATTCTTCTAGGCCACCTGCTTGAAAAAGAAACATAAGATAATCAGAGTTCATTTTGGGAAATAGTTGGAAATGCCTCATTCTAACTTTTCATTCATTGAAAAGTTTTGTTCATTGGAAGGTGTTTCTCAATTTCCTCCTTGAGGCAAATTTTCCTTTTTTTTTTAAGGAAAAAAATTCTAGGGGATCCTGCATTTTTTTTTTTCCTAGTGCAAAGCTAAAGATGCATATAAGAAAGTACTAGGCGAACAAACACACTGCTACAAGACAGCGAGCACCATGGAAAGAAAGCAGGTTCGAGAAGGATGTGAGGAAAACTGGAAACTGAAGTTTTCAGGTCTACCCACACTTCTTTGAGTTCACAGTCAGAGAAGGCAACTAGACAGACCATGGGACTGACCCAGCACTTCTTGTTTTCACAGATGGATGGTAACACTTCAAAGTGCTGGGAGATTTGGTGAAAAATTCATGGGGTTAACGTTCTGTTTTTAGATGTTCTCTCACCAAGCCAGATTTTCATGTCAAAATGTCCTATATAGTTTCGTGAAAATGTGAGTAACAATTCGAAACAATTGAGTTCGGTGTTGTCCCAGTTATTATATAAAAGTGATAAAAAGCTAGCTTGTCTATACAGAGTTCAGGGCACAGCCTTTAATGCATGATCTTATTTAATCCTTAAAACAGCCCTAAGAGTTTCGGACATCTCCTTCCGTTTACATATGGGAAAACAGAAGTGAGGCTTACAGAAGTGAAGGAAGGCTCCTGGGCTCACAAAACAAGGAAGTGACCAGGGTGGGATTTCAAGTCCAAGCTCAATAACTCCAGAGATCATGTTCTTAACACATTTCTGCCTTACAGCTTCCTGTAATTATTGCATACACATAAATACCCCATAGTTTGAACGCTGTTCCCAAAACATAACGCGCATACATATCTTAGCCCAAAGTGACCAACTGGCCTGAAAGACAGATAGATATTCACTTTGTTCTCCCTCACTAGCTTATAAGAGGGTCTTCCTAAAGCAATGATTTCCAACAATTTTCCTATTGCAAGCTCCTTAAAGAACATCCACTTGCTTCTATATTTATGACAAGGCTGCTTGTAAATAACAGACTTCACACTTATTTGCCAATTTGCAAATTTGTAGGTGTCTAAGGGCCATCATCTGTGTGGCTCTGAGGGGTAGGAAGATAGCTACCAACTTTGTAAATCAGAATAAGACTTGTTGCAAGGGTTGAATAAGTGAGTGACATCTAGTATTTCACATTCTGATTTTCCCTAAAAGGGTAAAACCTCAACTACTAAATGTCATTGACTTACTCATCTCTCGTGGCAACTCTCACTCGGATTTTCAAAGTTTGCTTTCGGTAAGATTATAATGACAGATGTAAAAATAGGGAGAAGCCTTTTACCAGTTTGGAAAAGGATGGGAGAGAAAAGAAAGACCTGGAAGCATCTGGTGACTGCGGGACACCAGTTTGTGCCTTGTTCCCATGGGTTTTGCCATGTCAGAAAAAGAAACCTGAATGTTCAGAACATGAGCTCCTGGATAACGCCTGTCTTTTAAACTTGCATTCTATTGATAGTATAGATGAAGAGACACAGAGCAAATTAAGTCTCTAAACCTACATGATTTGCAAGGAGAGCTGTTTGTGTGCTCCACGATTCTGGTTTCATCTATTCTCAGTTTTAAAGGTCCCCAAGGATATTTGATGTTGGGCCGCATTTCAAAACGACCTTCTTTTCCGAAGTAATCACCAATAACCTGTATAGGGGGAGAAAAATAAAAACAGAGGTCAAAGGTCAAATTTATGTTTCCAAAGGAAGCATAGGGCAGGCTCCCCTATCGTTCACTCTGACCATAATGGTGTGTTTCTGGGGATTTTCTAAGTCAAATTCACAGTCGCCAATGGTGCTCTCAAAGCGAGCATAATTTAGGGAGAACTGGGGCTCTTCAAGGCAAGAAAAGTGGCCACAGAAAAAACAATTATCTTAGGCGTCAGGGCCTTTCCCTTGCTTATTGAAGAGGCTGCTGTTCCACCCACCTGCCACAGAGCAGCCCACACAGTCAGCCATTTGTAAGGCCCGAGTTACTTTGGGGGCTGTGTGAGAGAAAGTCAGGGTCTATCCTAACCTCAGGTTAAGCATCTTACAGGTACATGGCCTCACACCACTCAATCAGCTCGGCATATAATTACAGCATTAAAGAGGATCTTTTAGGGACTTCCTGTTTCACCCTCCTCTGGTTGGAAGGCTATTCCCCATCCTCACAGGGGATTACAAATAAGGTAAATTCGCTGATGAATTTATCCTATTTGCACCCCCATTTCTAGGCTGAACTCTCTTTTTCAATTGGTTCCTCTGGCCCCCCAAAAAAGCAGTATCCTTTTATGGCTCAGTTCAAGGTTCCCCCTCAGTGTCTCCTTTAAATGACTGTTTCATCATGTACCCAAGCCCTGATCTAGAAGTACCTTCCCACTGAGATTCTCAGATAGGTTTCTCTTTTGTCCGGGCTACAGCACCATGCTCCTGAGTGGCCTGTGACATCTCCCCAAGCCCCCCACCTCCTCCCCACACCCCCAAAGGAGGCCCAACAAGCTCTCACAGGCTGTTTCATGTCATAGCCTAAAGAATTCTAGATAATCACCAAAATATAACTATCACTTGGGAACTTACCAAGTACTTCACACACATTCTCTCCTGAATCCTCACAAGGACCCTATAATAAGTGATGACTACCACCTTTTACAAAGGGAGAGACTAGAATATACATGAGACCCAGACCATTCCACGTAGCATTATTTGACCTGAAACACTGCATGTTTGTATAATCTTTACTTATCTCTTCATCATTTTTTTTTAAGATTTTTTTTTTAATTGGGGAATTGGGGGATGGGAATAGCTCTGGGGAATCGGGGGAAGGGGAACAGACAAGTTGCTGTCCTTT